TCTTCCAAAAAACTTGGCATCTCTTAACCATGGGCAAAAACATCTGGAACCACTTATAAAAACCACCCCGTATCTGCATGAACTTTTTTGAACCCCACTGCTATTCCAAACAACGCGTTTTTCTGGACCATTCCAATTCGCCTCGTAATTGTAGGGGTGCGTCTGCGATATTACATTGACCGCGAAAGCAGCAACGCCAAAAATACACATTCGTGCATCAACACGGGCATGCCCGCAGACGGCGTATAAAATTGCGTGCCGATTACACAAAGAGAACCCAGTGTTTTGACTGCGAACATGAAAAATCAGCCGATTACAACACTCCGTCCGGAGGTCCTGACCTCCTTCACGGAGTAACAAACAAACCGGTATTTGCGGAAGTGAGGGTTGAGATAAGTATGTTCTTTCCTCATGAAATAGGTTGACCGGAAGAAGTTAAGATTGGTCGCCATCGACAGACTTGGTCTGAAGAAAGAAGCCTGAAGCCTGTCGGCAGCGCAGACAGTTTTCATCCCGTAATTCGGGTTTATTTCCGGACTTATTTTCATATATCAACAATCTTACTAATATTGTAAGCTACAGGTAAAAAAATGTAACAAAGGCGTAGTAGGCATCGTGGAACCATCGGTTTTAACCCTGAGAACTAGAGGCAGAATTATGGGAAATGGGGCCAGAATTGTCGGACAGGCAGAATTCTGTAGACTTCTGCAAAATTAGGTTAATCCCCAAGAGCTCAACGATGGCAATGTCGGAATTAAACTGGAGGCTATATTAATCAATTATATTGCAAAATGTAATAAGAATTTAAGATATTCACTATAATCGACTCGTCTGTTAATCAGACGTTTACAGTAGGAGTTCTTTGCCATTTGGAATTTTATAATTATTTTATTAATTTCGTCTTGATATAGGGTTTTATAAAGTTCTATCATAAAAGTTAATATAGTATAAGGCTTTTAGATTGGAGCGAACGTAATGCACGTTCCAAAATCTCAATTCTAAGTATTTCATACTATATCTGGTTACTGTATACTGAAATTTTTCTTCTCTGGTGTTATCATTATTCTAAAAGGCTTACAGCAATGACGATTTATACTTGCAGAAACAAGCACGCAACACAAGACTTGCATGTGCATCTTTATTCAAGGTAAAAACAAAATAAACAAAGATCGGGTGGATGTTTAGAATATTGTTCAGGAACATACCTTTCCCTGTTGTAGATTATTTGTGAAACAAACATTAGCTTACCACGAAATCTCGAAAAACAGCCCAATCAACTTTGGATCTGAAATTTTGTTATATGCAATCATATTATACATCACAATGTGTCTGCCTGTTTTGTGTATACTTATCATGTTCTAAATAATCTCGTTCAATGCAACAAAAAAAAAAAACATTACAGACATTTCAGGTCATGGAGTCAATGTAGAGCATGCAATGGTATTGTTTGTTTGACTAAGTGTGTTGTTTAAAAGATATTCTGTTTTCAGTATGAGAGTCACGTGTATCTTAGAATGGCAAAAGTGATGGATATTGAAGACACAGGAGTAATATTAATAAATTCTTTTTTTTTACTTTATTAATGCATTACTATATAGAAGACATTGGAAATTTCTTTATATTTTACGGGGATATACGCACCCCGTGTTACTATGTGTGTTTTAACATTTGCCCTATTTTCATTAATGATAAACAACATAGCAAAGCAATATAAAGTGAAAATTCAACTTGGAATATGAGATAAATACTTAGTTTGCTGTTGCAGCCCTATTGTAATAACGCTACTTGCTATAAAACTTAATGTCAAGTTAAGGAGATGGCTTGTCTTCTTGCGCATAAAAAGCAAGCGAAATAAAGAGAAAAGAAAAAAAATCTTGGAGATAAATAGCACACACACGGCGGTCTGTCACTACGACATTCTTTCCCATTGCTAGGCGCGTTCTAAAAAGTATCGGGTTACAAGACACTATTTTGGCCTATTTTGAACTACCCGTAAAACACTTCAAAATAAACAAAAAGGATTTCATGGTAAATTTCGTCAAATTAAAATAAAATTATTGCCTTAACTCACTCACTCACTCTCGTCCCGTGACCTCAGAGGTCGTAGGGGCATCACGACACCCTTGCGATTGCCTTAACATCCTTTTAATATTAGCTGTTTATGTCAAATCATTGTTTTTCAAAATTCCGCTCCGAAATACGATTTTTTCGGGTTTCCGACCACTAGTCATGTCATGATTTAAGGCAAACATCGTTTAAACCTGGCTACAGATATAACCCCAGATCCCCGATTTTTATATTTTTCGACGACTATAGGAATAAGATCAAAAATCGTGTTTTAGGGATTTTTTCATTTCTGATTTTAAGTCTAGTTTTTGTCGACACATTGGAGAAAAAAATTATGTTTTTTACGTTTTTCGCACTAAATTTCCCATAATTCAAAATTGAGGCCATTTTTCAAAAATCCCTAAAACACGATTTTCGGGACAACCTTTACGGTCATTTTGAGCCTTGAATGGGGTATGTTTGACTCTCCATGCTTGCAGGTTTAAACGAGTTTTGCAGACATGTCATGTCGACCAAAAGTCTGCATTGTGTTATTCATAGCGGTGTAAAGAATCATTCCAGTATTCAAGGTCACCCAACGAAACGACAACAGCTTCGCTACATGTTACATGTCCACACAAAAAATGATAGCGGACATGTAGTGTCCAGGAAACTGTTTGGATCTATAGAAAAGTGTTGTTTTTTATCTGTTGCAAGGAACGGAGGCAGAAAGGCTTGTTTTGCCGCTTTATTGTAAATGACCGCAGGTGACCCCGAAATAGAACGCGGGTTCGATTCGAATTGCCCAGATCGAACACGATCGAACACAGTTCGGGTTCTATGACATGTGGGAACTTTGCAGCCCAGATTTTACCACCGTGACACGATATAGACAGATTCGGATTCGCCTTATTCATTTCACAATAGGTCAATAGATAAAGCCATATGAAATTGACTAACACCTGGTAACAATAGTGAGTAATCTACAGTAAACACTAGGTGCATTTCCTAGGTGCACTTCACTAGGTGAAATAAGAATGGAAAATATACCATAGTATGTCAACATTCAGGTTCATTACCAAACGTCCATTTATTTTCCATAACATAGCCATTCTTTATTACTGTTTGCAAGAGGGGAGGTTGATTGGTTGCTATGATTCCTGGTATGTGGGGAGTTACGGCTAAAACGTACACACAATTAGATGTTAATTGTGCGCAAATGCATGTCTCACCTTTAAATACAAAAAAGTTCATAAATCAAGTGTACTCTACCATAGGACATAAAGCTTACGCCATAGGGTATATGTAGTACCGAGAAAGAGAGGAACATCGTAGAATATCAATTATTTAGTAATATGCAAACTAGTACCTCTTTTGCGTAATTTTTACGAAAAAAGTCATAAAGCCATAGTGCTGAATGGCAAATTCGGGACGATTGTACACTGACACAACTTTGGTAAAAGTAAAAAATCATCATTCATAAGCCATGGAAATTCATCCTCCCGAGGCAGGGGTGCTTTCGTACAAGTACGGCAACACCCCTGTCGAACCACCCGCGACCAACCACTTTCACAGGATGACGAGCTTCAGCCAATCAGAGGCAAAGCTTTAGGTAGTGGAAAGCTAAGGTCAAAGGTCGCTGGGAAGCTGTAAGCCAATCACATTACGGCTGACATCGCCTCTTTGGGTTCACTGAAAACATCCTGTTGGCTATTTTTTGGGCCAGCCGTGCAAGAATTGTTTGAATCGGTATCTTCAACATTAGCAGCGCACGGTACAGTCACTGCTTCACAACAGTGTAAGTGTAAGGATAGGTGGGGGAAAGGTCTGTGTTGTATTTTAGCCAGCGAAACAGGAACCCAGAAATGTTAACATGTCCGCCATGTTGAATTTAGGTAATCTGGGTGCTGATTGGTTTGCGCCAAATAAGGCAATCTCATGGATATTTATAAACCAGGCCCTGCAGAGGACGAATCTGGGGCTGATAGGGCAGAGCTAATCCCAAGGCGTATTTGCCGCGGTATAGCTCTGCCGTGGGAGAATGCTCTAAAAAAAACAAGTTACTAAAATTTTTGAGACAAAATAGTTCTCCATCATTTTTTTACTATGTTTAAAAAAAAGCTGATTCTTCTTATTATATGTTAAAACTTACTAAACAATAGCATCCTGAAAGCATCAGGTTTATTTATTTCTGTGTCTCCTTCTTGACTTGCTAGGTGGCCTGGGAGGACCCATCTCCCCTTTCCGTCCATCACGCCCTTGAGGACCCTTCTCCCCTGGCCTTCCATCACTCCCGGGAGGACCCCTCACCCCCCTACTCCCTTTAGACCCTTTCTTTCCCTTACTCCCTTTAGATCCAGGAAGCCCTCTTAACCCTCTATTTCCAGCAAGCCCTTTGGCTCCCTTTTCTCCCGACGGTCCAGGAGGCCCTATGGCTCCGTTTCTTCCCGACGGTCCAGGAGGCCCTATGGCTCCGTTTCTTCCCGATGGTCCAGGTGGCCCTATGGCTCCGTTTCTTCCCGATGGTCCACGAGGCCCTATGGCTCCGTTTCTTCCCGATGGTCCAGGTGGCCCTATGGCCCCGTTTCTTCCCGATGGTCCGGCAGGCCCTATGGCTCCGTTTCTTCCCGATAGTCCAGGTGGCCCCATGGCTCCGTTTCTTCCCGATGGTCCAGGTGGCCCTATGGCTCCGTTTCTTCCCGTTGGTCCACGAGGCCCCATGGCTCCGTTTCTTCCCGATGGTCCAGGTGGCCCCATGGCTCCCTTTTCACCAGGAGGTCCGAGAGGTCCGGCAGGCCCATAGCAAACTGGCCATTTGGGCCCCCTTCCTCCTAGCGGGCCAGCTGACCAGCTGATGCCTAAAGATCCCTTTTCACCAGGAGGCCCGGCAGACCCGTGACAAACTGGTCCTATGGAGCCCCTTTCTCCTGGAGGTCCAGGAGGTCCCACAGTACCATGGCCAGCTGGCCCAATTGCCCCCCTTTCTCCTGGAGGTCCCGAGGTACCCTTTTCTCCTGGTGGTCCAGCTGACCCTAAAGCCCCTTTTTCACCAGGAGGTCCGGCAGTCCCATGGCCAGCTGGCCCAATGGGCCCCTTTTCTCCCCGAAGTCCAGGAGGTCCCAAGCCACCCTTTTCTCCTGGAGGTCCAGCTGACCCTAAAGCCCCCTTTTCACCAGGAGGCCCAGCAGTCCCAAGGCCAGCTGGTCCTATGGGTCCCTTTTCTCCAGGAGGTCCCAGGGTACCATTTTCTCCCGGAGGTCCAGGAGGTCCCACGGTACCACTTTCTCCCGGGGGTCCAGGAGGTCCCACGGTACCATTTTCTCCCGGAGGTCCAGGAGGTCCCACGGTACCATTTTCTCCCGGAGGTCCAACGGTACCATTTTCTCCAGGAGGTCCAGGAGGTCCCACGGTACCATTTTCTCCTGGAGGTCCAGGAGGTCCCACGGTACCATTTCCTCCCGGAGGTCCAGGAGGTCCCACGGTACCATTTTCTCCCGGGGGTCCAGGAGGTCCCACGGTACCATTTTCTCCCGGAGGTCCAGGAGGTCCCACGGTACCATTTTCTCCTGGAGGTCCAGGAGGTCCCACGGTACCATTTTCTCCTGGAGGTCCAGGAGGTCCCATGGTACCATTTCCTCCCGGAGGTCCAGGAGGTCCCATGGTACCATTTTCTCCCGGAGGCCCAGGAGGTCCCACGGTACCATTTTCTCCTGGTGACCCTAAAGCCCCCTTCTCACCAGGAGGTCCAGCAGAACAATTACCAGCTGGCCCTATGGGCCCCCTTTCTCCCGGAGGTCCAGGAGGTCCTGGAGGTCCAGCTGACCCAATGGGTTCCTTTTTATCTGGACCACCACTTGTTACAGCAGACCCTGAAGGATTTAAATAAAATCCTTAGTGTGTTACTTCTAATACCCTAAGATCATTTAATAACTAGAGTTCCTTACACCTTCGCCAAATGATGTTAATATGTATGACTGACAGAGTAAAGATTATCCCTCCTCATTATGTAAATGACATTCATTTGCATGGATTATATCAGTAAATCATATTCTTCACCAGAAGACAGCCTTATCTTAAAGGCATCCAATGCAATCTTAGGGCAGCAAAACTGGAAATATTCTGAATAAGGCTAGCTTTCTGATTTTGACACATACTGTTTCACGTTGGCACATTTGAGTCAGAATTTCATATACTTTGGGCTTTTTAAACTGCAGCAACAAGCCCCAAGATGAGTCCTTTATTTTCTGGGTGGTACCCTAAAAAACAGCCGAGGGCCCTATCAGTAACTGTTTCCGTCAGAATTGTGGAAATTTTTGCTTCCTGAGTGTCAATATACATTGGGATAGTAGGGTTTAAATTTGGTATGTAGATAAACGACTAGAATATTGGCTCTATAAAATTGGGTTTCCAAGCCCTAAAAACTGCACTTGATGCCTGCAAAGCAAAGAAATCCATTCTATCATTTCCTCATAAATTATGCAAATGCGGTCTTTATTTGAATAAGTTATGTTTAATGATGTTCACCTTCATTTAAGTTTCAAATACCTCAACAATGAAATTCCAGACAGTTACCATTACAGACTTACAACATTTTCTTATAACAACTTATAACATTATGCAAGTTAAGTCTTCATTCACATAATCAATATCTGCCTGTCTCAAATCAATTACACATGTCACAAGCCTCAATAGTCATATCATGTTATGCAGATTTGCATAATTGTCGCATAATTATGTCAAGCGTCACTTAAGCTATCTACATGCCTACACCTAGTATTACACACAAATCATCCGAAATTCGGTATTGGTATGCTTTATATATATACCAACCACAATTCATTATACCTTTTGGTATGCACCCCTTAAAAGTTGTATAATTTAGGACGTTTGACTGTTTTTAATGCCAAATAGTTACGTATAGTTAATGTATAATAAAGAATGAGTCATCAGAAAGGAATGCCGAGCAACAGCCAATAGGCATGCAGCTTTCGTGGTCGTTGGGCAGTTCTAATCTTCTTGCTGATTAAATGCTTGGCTGTAATTGGATTGGGCACCTGACAGGTGAACTGTATTTAATTGTTTTAGTAGGTTTGTCACAATTTCCGCAATGTGGGGCGTGAACCTTTTTTATCTTGAAAATCAACAGTTTGCGTCAGGAATCCTTTTTTAATCTTGAAAATCAAGGCAAATATGAATCTTTACAAATAATGTATAGGACGCTAGCTATCCAACTGCTGTACTTTTAGTTATATATCACTTCATACCATATGTATATTGATGAAAAACATTCTTTTTCCTTGTGTTTCTCATTCTGCCCCTGCCACTTCGTTGAACGGATTCAACTTTGGGGACCAAATGACCTGATGAAATTTGCAATCTCCAAGAAGAGTAATCTTCGAGTTGCTTGGCCTTCAAGCAGATACACGGTGGCATGGATCCTGTCAATCTACATGTTCAACAGCAGAAGCTGATTCTATTGCTGAATGGGGGTATAGACAGTTGGAACACTTTACATTTTGACCAGGGTTGATTTAGGAACAATCAATTTGTGTGGAAAGGGGGTAGGTCATTTTTTTTGGCACGGGGGATGTGGTGAAGCCACTTGCATTTGCTCCAGAGCAAATGTCGGCCTTTCTTGTTCCTTATTGCGTTGACCTGGGCATTGAAACATGCAGCTTTCGAAACACGCCTAATCTGTTTTTAATGGATTTTTCTTAAAACACTTACGTTCCAGCTCAATCAATCTCTGTTCCATCCTGTTCAGCTTGGCAATCTTCTCAGAATGACTGCAGACTTTAACTGTAAACAAAAAGCAATTAAATACCTGGCATTTGCTAGGATACTAGCAAATAACAAACGTACTGCCAGACCAAAACAGTTTCCACATAACCATAAATTTCTATAGAAATACGTCGAGCCCTCCTGTTAAGTATGGCATTATCACCCCACAGCTTAACAATTTTCCAAGGACAACTGCTGAATATGACTGTTTTAAATAAAAAAAACGACACTACCTACGTTTTTCAATTTTGTAGATAAATTTGATAATATCTCTAGACAATTTGGTAATATTATCTGGATAGATTTGTAAAAAGGAACACAGATTTATTTCTTATACTAAAAAAATGACAAAAACCAGGTTTTACCCATATTTTACTTTAAAAGTATATCGCATCTAAATAAGAGGTATTACATGTACCTGTCAAATAAGGCATTAAGAATTGGTAAAAAGGAACACAAATTCATTTCTTATACTAAAAAAATGACAAAACCAGGTTTTACCCATATTTTACTTTAAAAGTATATCGCATCTAAATAAGAGGTATTACATGTACCTGTCAAATAAGGCATTAAGATTAAAACTCCCAAGCAGACTACAATGTTGATAGCTTGAAACAGCTTCTTGCCGACACTTTGATATTTCTTCTTCTTGGCGTCCGCATCGTAGCTGGTATCTGTTTTAACATTATTAATTATTTATCAACAATGTCTTATTTACTCGCGTTTGGCTACTTCTACTTGTTATTTTACCATTAGATTTGTTATGTATATAATCGAGGCAGTCGCGTAACATTTTTAGGTTATCAATAAAGGCCAAAATCCTTCACCTTCTGGCAGTCTCTGTTTTAACATTTTATGCATGCCTCTACCAATTTTTAAAGGCATCCAACGAAATTTGAGGGTGGCAAAACCGGATTTTTAACGTGAATTTTCAGGTCAATCTTTTAATGCTATCCTATAGCATACCGATATATGTGATGCAAAACGCCATGTAGCTTAGGTAAAACGGTCGCTTTTTGTATCGTAGGTTAGTACTAGCTATTTAAAGCGGTACCAAACAAATAGTAAACAGACGTCTCACGCTGTTTTGGGGCATGCTGCAAGTTTTACATGATGACTAAAGTATGGAGAGAAAAGTTGTAAATGTTACTACCGGGAAGATGTCCTTACACAGAATGGTTTTTGTTTTGCCTTCTCGAAATTGCATTAGATGCGTTACCATCTATTACATATGAATGCGAAACAATATTCATGATGTACTGTGTACATGTAAAGTAAAATCAGTGAGCAACAAAACAAAAGTAAATGTTTCACTTTTTTCTTTTCATTAAACCCTTGTCCTGCTGAACTTTTCACACGATATTTTCAATTAATTTGAAGTCTTAATCACAGACCCTTTGACTTTTTTTGCCCTTCGGCGGCGTAGTTACTTCCGCATTCGTTGCGTTTCGCTGCGGTGTGATGCGCTGCAAGAGAAACACCCCCGAATCGTACATACACAGGGCACTATATAAATGATACTGTATGTGCAACCCATAACCAATCAATTACGATCCCGCCTTCAAGATATATATATATACAAAAATGGTATAATTCTATTAGTAACAACTCAAAACTTTCTGTTTAAACCGCATTAAAGGAAAACTATGGACAAAAACAATACCTCTCAAGTGTACACAATCTAGATATCCAAAAAGCGATCACAAAATTAAGAATTAGTTGTCATAAATTAAACATAGAAATAGGTCGATGCAAGAAAATACCAAATGACCAAAGGTTCTGTCCATTTTGTCCAAACATGATTGAAAATGAGCACCATTTTATAATGGATTGTACACTATACAATGATAAGCGCCTATTGCTGTTCACCTTTCTTTCCGCTTGTTCAATTGATTTAAATACGTTAGATCCTATAGATAAATGCAACTACATTCTCAGGGGAGCTAACCAATACAGTATTCAAATAGGAAAATACATTAAAGAATGTTTCGATCTTAGAGAACACATGTTAGAGAATAGTTAACCTTAATTGTTACATCATACATATACTCTGTACGTAAGATGACGTTATCCACACATGTATTTAGCTTTGTTAGATATTTAGTTAGCTTTGTTAGATCTTTAGTTAAGACCATGCAAAAGTCTCTGTACTTTTTTGTTGTGTCAATAAAGAATCCCGCAGGACAAGGGTTTTAAGAAAGGTATAAAATCGATCTGTTAGATAAAATTGTTCACCTGCTCTAGTGACGTACAGAGGGTTGGGTACATTCGCACCTGCGTCCGCAAGTGACCTCCAATCAGTCTGGGGCTGCTGCATGGGCGTGGTGCCTGTGTGGTATTTATATCATCATTAAAATCATCTCCGTTTGGAACCTAGTAATTCCTCTATCAAACTTTAGAATCTAGAAATTCATGTATCAATCGAGCTGCGAATGTTTAAACAATACATGTCAGCTAAATATGACATATTGGAGTATTTTGTAGTAACCAGATCTGTCAACATTTAATAGATGTCTTCTCTTTTTATGATTCCTATGGCATTCAATTTTTTTCATAAAATAATCAAAAAGGCTCAGCCAGTCTCCAGAAAATGTATAGAAAATTGACATAGCGTACTCTTCTTTTGTTCTTTGTTCTGTGCTACTTGTTTTCTTTATTTGACAGCTTTTGTGAAATCCGTAGGCATTTTGTCCGTCATTAGAAGAGAAATAAACACAGCAGGCTTTTTTTAGCCTTCTAATCTAATCAATAAAAACAAACAGTTAAAACTATATTATATAAAACTGCCGGACGGCTTACTTATGGCTTAAGAAATCTGCGTAGTAATTGAAAGTTACACTAGTCTTGAGTTATAACCCCTTAACGAGTGCCTTTCTTCTTAAACCAATTCTACAAAACATTTAAACTGGAGGCTTTGGTGCCAAGAACAACGTACTAAAGAAGTACTCCCTACTGCGGCTTCTCCAGCAGCTTGAATACTAAATTGACCCCCAATAAATACATAAACACATAAACATATCAGACTGCCCCAGAAACAAACAGCATGGACAGATTAGCACCATAACGGTCACTTCTTCGAATATATTTCTACACTGTTTTTAAAGTAACAATACGAAACCGTGCAAATGATCAGGATAGTTGAAACTTAGTCAAATTATTAAGACAATATTACCTGCAACATTCAGTTTCTGTAAAACCAACCTTGTAGTCTTTATCAAAGTGTCTAATTGTAGATGTCTACATGTAAAATGTCAACCTCACAACTGAATTAGCTTTGACAGTACCAGTCACTGTGTCTATAAATATGGCTTGTAATTGTGGTGTCAAGTTGGTAGTATGAGAAAACAGTATGCATGTAGACTCAGGAACTGTACAAGTCACTGCTGCCAATCTCTATCACACTACCAGGCAAACCTCGGCAAGACAGTGTTGTCATTGCAGTACTTTAGATGTCTGGGTTAGATGAAGCTAACTTTTGTATGTACAGGTGTACATGAATTCCTTATCTGTTATCAATATGTTTCAAACCCAAAGTGTCTTGAAGAGTCTCGGTCACCGCCAGCCCTTTGCCCATGTTACCACCACGGTAGTCAGGGGTAGAATGAAGCCTGGTAGTTTACGTTAGCCGAATTTATTCGGTGCTTATATAGTACAAGCCTGGTCTTTAAAAATAGTATAATATCATTAGCATCTTTCCATCGTTCTCGAATAGAATAGAATAGAATAGAATAGAATAGAATAGAATAGAATAGAATAGAATAGAAAATCAGGCAAAACAAACGCTACCTCCAGTATCAGTCCGGGAATGCTGCTGTCCTCCCGACATGATGCCACTTGTCAGGTGTCTGTACAGCAAAAACACGTTATAACACCTTGCCAGGCGACAGGCAATCCAAGCAAGCCTTGCGAACAGAGAACAACCCGTGACACTTTGAACAGTCGAGAAAAATCATAGAAGGCCCTGAAAACTTCATTTGATACCGAGATATGCTTTGAAAAGAAATTAACTTAACATTACAAAACGTGACTATTTCTTCACACAAACATTTTGTTGTTTGCATTTATTGATGGCATACTTAGAAGTATAAATATTTACATAATCGTCGTAAACACGCTTGCCAAACGTCCTTGGAAAAATGTTGAGCAAATTGTTTACACCAGTCTAATATAATAGAAACTACACGTTTTACTCTCCGTTTTCCTCCATTCGTTATAGTTATTGCTACAGCTCGTCATGATATTTTTTTTTACATCAGCTTGAAAACAGTTGACTGGACCGAGACGTCCTAGCTTGTCTAAAATTATTCGACTTGCTCAAAAAATCATTGCGTAAGTAATATGCGAAGCGTTTGGAAATTACTCTGCTGGTGGAGTGATTACCTCCACAAAGATGGAAATGTAGGTATTGTTTTTGGCCTGTGTGTCTGTCTGTATGTGTGTGTTTCCGCATACTTGTGGTCAGCATAACTTCAGAACGCCTTTACGGGTTTTGATAATATTTGGTATGTTGGTACTTCCTAGTAAGACAAAGGACGTCAAGGTTCACATCTGGGGCTCCTAGTGTCTGACCTTGGTACTGTAGCAGAACTGCATTACAGATACTTTCACGGTCGATGTTCAGGAGAACTTGCACTTCTTATTCCGCCGCTCAGAACCTTTCAGCGTTCCACTAGGTTCTCTTCCAGTTCTCATTACAACACCTTCAACATACCTGTCTCCAAGTCATTTTACAACAATAGCTTCTTTCACCGGACTGCAAAATTATGGAACTCTCTTCCAAACAGTTGCTTTTTGTCCGACTACAATCCACAAAACTTCAAAACAAAGGTCCACCGCCATCTCCTGTCATAACTACATTATACTCACTTAAGTAAAACTAGCTCTATGCCTAGAAGTGGCCAAAAATATTTGGCCTTGCATTGATGAGGGACACCGTTAAAAAAACACCTCCGTTTGTTGTATCTTTTGTCCTGAATATGCTACGTTCTTGACTTTTTGGTGACAGATAGTTTTCCAAGTGATATGGGTTTGATCCCCTAAAAGCTTGTTCTGGAACTGTAAGGGAATTTCAAGCGAAATCTTTAACAGCGGATAAATCAAGAAAATCATGATTTTTGGCATGTAGATAGCTTAGACAGAGGTTTACACGATAATATGTTATTTATGTAAATGAGGACTCAATTTGTAAATTTAATGAGGATATCTTTAACAAAAACATCACTGTGTGATGCCCGTTCAGGAAAGAACACAAATAAAACAAGAATTCCGAGATTTCATACCTCTATGAAATATGGGCTTGATATGCAAATGTAAATTTCTTCTTTAATTATGCAAATGACCTCTGCATTAACATAATATATACATCGTGATGTATGTTAACTTTTGGTTAACTTACAGATGTCCCAAGTATGACATTCCCATCATTCACCATTAAGAAATCATAGAATTTTCGCATTAATTATGCAAATTAGGTGATAATTTGCATAATTAGTATCTGTAGATGCTCCGCCTGCCATAGCTTACTTACATTACATGTATGAAAGTAGTATAATGTAAAACACTGTAATTATAGAATTTCCTCATTAATTATGCAAATAAAGTCTCCATTTGCATAATTTACATTTAATCATGTACAACTGTCTCTCAGGTACCTACACACCAAACATGATGAAAACACGTTGTTCCAATCTGGACTTATTGGCTTTGAAAGTTTTTACCAGAAACTAACCTGCAGTTCCAGAACAAGCTGCTAGGGAGACCAAACTTACGCCACTTATTCCTAACAGGATCAGCTATCTGTCACCAAAAAGTCAAGACCATACTATTAGGTTGTTCAGGACAAAAGATACAAAAAACCGGAAGTTCTGCTGCAGTACCAAGGTCGTCCACCAGGAGGCCCATACTTGACCTTGACCTTTGTCTTTCCAAGACTTACCAGTATACAAAATATCATCACAATCCATAAAGGCGTTCTGAAGTTATGCTGACTACAAAGTTGCGGAAACACACACAGACACACACACAGACAGACACACACACACACACACAGACATACATACAGATAGACACGCCAATAACAATACCTCCATTTCTCATGGAGGTAAAAAAACATAGAGATGCAAATAGAGATGCCTGAGGTGGGTGATTGGGAAGCTTGCTGGACAGTCTTCAAGTAATATTGCATGTATACTTAAGTATATCTTATTCATTTTATAGACCTATTTGGTATCATTTGGTCTTAAAATCCTACAGATCTCTTATCATTACAAGTGTTGACTGACATATAGACGCCTTTTAGAGTACATATATATTGCAGAAAAGAGTGCTGTATTCAACATTAACACCTAGGCCATCATGGATCAATTTGTAATATCTAATGAGGATATTTGTAAAAAAAACATTACAGTACGGACACAGTGACTGTGTCATGTCAGCTCAGGAAAAAACACAGAAAGGCAAAAATAAAACCTAGAGATGCAAATAGAGAAGCCTGAGGTATGCGATTGGGAAGCTTGCTGGACAGTCTTCAAGTGACTATATTGCATGTATACCTTTGTATATCTTATTTATTTTACAAACATTTTGGTGTCATTTGGTCTTTAAATCCTAGGAATCTCTTATCATTACAAGTGTTGACTTACATCTAGATGCCTTTAAAAGTACATATACATTGAAGAAAAGGCTGCTGTGTTCAACATGAACACCTAGGTCACCATGGATCAATTGGTCAGTTTAGTACAGAATCTGCAATGCTATAAGAGTATTGAACTGTGGATGTTTTACGTGTAAGGCCACACCAAGTAAATCTTATGGATGACGTCCGCGCGCGCATTGATTTTGGCCTGTTCCTAGAAGAAAAAAAAAACAAGAAATTCTGCTTTCTGTAACTATGATCAAAGAGTCACGACAGTGCCGCAAATCGTCAGATTGACGTGAAACCCGTAACGCGAAAACAGGACAGGACGACAACTGTTATTCCACCTGATTTATTGCTGTTTTGATGATGAATAAAAGACTTCGAATTTTTCTTGCTTGTTAATCTGTGTCACCTCATTCAATTTGTGTCCTAACATTTGTCGTCTCTTAGTATATTTCTAATCTAGGCATCTTGTTTTTTAGGGCCCTTCTTGTTTTTTTTTTCGCCCTCTCGCATTAGATTTAGGGTCTCCAAAGGACGTCATCCATAAAATTTACTTGGTGTGGCCTAATACAGATCGCTGTACATTTAAAAATGGGTGAAATGTCATCTGCCAGGCTTCACTCATAGCTACAAGACGGTTCAAGTCTGACAGGAATGTAATACAATCCAAAATGGAAGGAATTCTAAAACACATCGTCCGCAAAGATAGCCATAAGGCCAAACTGTGCTGCGCCCCCTGCCGACTTTGCCATGTGGGGCTGGTACGGTGTCTGTCTGATTTAACGTCGATCAACCCTCCAGCAGAGCGAGGGTCATAAGTGCTGTCTTGCTACTATTCACTATTCTATTTACTGTCATTTTATCATGTTTACACAAAACTAAGAATAAGTATAGGGTGTAGAATGAAGTACTTCATGGTCTTTTAAGACCGACGAATGCCTACTACTATCGTGTTACCTCTACGATCCGTTTGTTTACAATGTGTGTCTCCAATCTGTGAAAATAAAATATCCGCTACTATTTTCTAACCCATGATCCCGGGCTGGGACACATCACAAGGCAAGAATGAGTACTGCACGAGTACTGAGTATTTCATTTAGAAAGGACAGGAGTCACAACGGCGAGCCTACATTGTTTAGCTGCCATTCTCAAACCATTGACAATTCCGTCCGTAATATATGCCCATGCCGTAGATATACATGTAAATCCTGGCTAATTTAAATCCAAGGCGTCAGGCTCATCTTGCAATATCTTACAAAGTATATATAGCAAAAAGTTGAACTTTATTCCAACACAGTTAACAGAGAGATAATACTTTCAGCGACCACTGTCGTGTGTATAAGGTAACGTGTTTGTAAACCGCAACTCTCGCGAGATCACGTTGTGAAGTGATTGGTCATTAATTATCCTGATAAAGACGACAGTGGTCGCTGAAAATTTGATCTCTCTGTAAACTGTGTGTTGGAATAAAGTTAAACTTTTTACTATGATTACTACCAATGCAAATGAACTTTCATGAACAATATTACAAAGTAGTATCCTACATGTATGTACTCGTATCATGCGCAGCCATCGGTCCTCTGGAGTAAGGGATAGGGAAACAGCCGTCTGGAGCCTTGAGTATCACGGCGGCCGCTCCCGTTAACGGTTGTTATCTTTTCTTGCCTTCTCTTACATAGTTTGACTGTATCAGTTGATTGTCAAAGAAGATAGTTAACCCTGTCCAAATATTCCCTTAAATCACCTTTAAGACTTTTTGGTGGACAAGTTGTAAGCAGATAATTAGGACTAGTGATTAAAACTTGCAGCCCGTGATAAGTTCCCAGCCATGTATAAGAGACGACCCTGAACTCGAAGATTGGGTCAGGTAGTTGGCTGTCCTTATCAAAATAAATAAGAAATTCTTAACCTTCTCCCTGTAACATAAGCCTGTAACTAATGCAAATTAGGTGCCTAAAGGCTACGTCAGCAGGGCGAAGGTTAACGATAGCTAATGAAAACTCGCCAGGAGAGAAGAAAACGATGGTATCTGATGTCTCTCTGTTTAACACGAGTTACCTCAGGTGCCAAGAAGTCGTGGTAATTTTTTGTACTGAGTCATCGCATAACAAATTCAATTCATTATCTTACCTGAATAGGCCTTAACCGTATCTATTCTCCCTAAGGCCACAGCAAGTAATTTTTATGAATGACATCAGCCCGCGCATTAATTTTCGCCTGATTTTGGAAAAAAAAACAAGAACTTTTGTTGCCTTCTGACAGTGGTCACCATGCCGAAAATAGGCCAAGATGTCTGTTGCATAGCCGGAAGGTGGATGGCAGATAAATATAAAGAGAGGAGACAAGACGGGGCTCTGATTTTATGTTTTGTTTCTTACTTTGATGCAGCGATATGTGATGTTGGCTGTGTATATGCGATGTTCCCATTGAATTAAAACCATTTGTACAATGATTAAGTCAAAATTTCAAAATGTAACAACCTTGTTTTTTTTCAGCCCGCCTTGTTTTATTTTCGCCCGCTCGCATTAGATTTGGAATCTGTGGAGGATGTCATCCATAAAATTTACTTGCTGTGGCCTAACGGTCGAACACATCATGCCCCCTACAAGCGTGACTTATGGAAAGTTCGGACTATTTCTTACGACCCAATAAGTGAAGCACGTTTAAAAACGGTGCACCAGAATATAATATTAATAATAATGTTTAAGTCAATACAATTGTTAAAATACATTACACTCTCTATACAACAAATCCCTCCTGGCAGCCAGAGGCTGAATTGCATGGGAGCTGTTTACACAAGAGTTTACTAACAATAGAAAACGGCATATCTCTATATCAAACATATCTATAAACATTTCATGGACAGGGTATATTTAAAAAAAAACATTAACAACCACTAAATTAAAACGGTTAGAATAATCAGGTCAGACGTCATTACAAGTTTAGGACAGTACCATGTGTAGTATTGCACTTGAGCGATATCTCTCAGTCCTACAGTAAATACTGTTCAGTTTTTTTAAGTGGGAAATTTGTGTAAATGTGGAAGAAAATTTGTTGAGGCCAATTTGTATAAATGTTGAGGCAAAGGCACAACACCCAGGTCCAAATCCAGGATGTCTTGAGTAGAGGCTGAAACTCATCCATTACTACAAATGTCATAATTGAATTTAGGATGTGTTCATGGACTTGAACAAAAGGTTGCTTGGCGTTAAATGTAGTTAACGCAAATATGCTGCCCCCACTGTGAGTAAATTATTTTCTAGTAAACAGAGTCGTAATTAACGTATTGTTACTACAAGACATTAAAGGAGCTATGGGAATTACCGCCCTTGTGTTTGTGTAATACAATTATGACAGATATGTAATTTGTTTTTTTACGCTGAAGGCCAGATCGCCTGAAGGTTCTGTGGGGCTCAGTCGGCGCTCGGTCCACTCTGAGAGGAACTCGCCCACAGGGTAGGTCCTGGCAACTTGTGATATTTTATCTTTAAATGCATACGGAAAGGATATCCCTACGGAATTCAATATTGATTTGATGAAATATAAATGCCTACAGTCACTACCAAAAATGCTTTTCTTGTTTTTCCTTGTACAAAATCTTTAAAGAATGTTTCTTGAATTTTCTTGAAAATCCCCCTGGCAAGAGGATATTTCTCAACTTTAGAAAAAAAAAGAAAAATAAGAAATAGAATTTTGGTAGTGTAGAACACATAACAGCATGACAACCTATGAAACATTTTCTTAAAAAGGTATGGTATTTTTATATCCACGGTGGTCTGTCACTACAGCATTCTTTCCCATTGCTAGGCGCGTTCTAAAAAGTATCGGGTTACAAGACGCTATTTTGGCCTGTTTTGGACTACCCGTAAAATATTTGAAAATAAAGAAATAATATTTAGTGGTAAATTTCGGCAAATTAAAATGAAAATATCGTCTTAACATCCTGTAAATGTTAGCTTTTTATGTTAAATCACTGATTTTTTAAAATTTCGCTCAGAAAGACGATTATTTTCGGGTTTCCGAGCACAAGTCATGACACGTTTTTAGGCAAACATCCTTCAAACCTGGCTACGTATATTGCACCAGATCCTCGATTTTTATATTTTTCGCTAACTAGGGATAAGATAAAAAATCGTGTTTTAGGGATTTTTTAATTTCTGATTTTAAGTCTAGTTTTTGTCGACATATTGGTGAAAAAGTTGCATTTTTAACATTTTTCTCACTAAATTACCCATAATTCAAAATTGAGGCCATTTTTCAAAAATCCCTAAAACACGATTTTCGGGACAACCGTGACAGTCATTTTGAGCCGTAAATGGAGTATGCTTGACTCTCCATGTTTCCAGGTTTGAACGAGTTTTGCAGACATGTCATATCGCCAGAAAGTGTGCTTTGTGTTATTCATACAGGCGTAAAGAATCATTACAGTATTCAAGGTCACCCAAGGATACGACAGTAGCTTCGCTACGTGTTACATACCCACAAAAAATGATAGCGGACATGTACTGTCCAGAAAACTGATTGTATCTATAGAAAAGTGTTGTTTTTTATCTGTTGCGAAGCACTCAGGCAGAAGGGCTTCTTTTGCCGCTTTGGCCCACTCTAGACGAAGCATTTCGCGACAGCGGTAACTGCCGACAGCGGCACGCCGACAGCAGGAACGCCGTCTAGAGAGGATTCCCGACAGCGTAGTCCCGCTGTCATGAAATTTTCTGACGACAGCTTCAAAGTTGTCGGCCGACAACTCAGCGGGAGTCCCCGACAACTTAAAAGTGCGTATAGAGAACTCGCGACAGCGGGAGGTCAGGGTTCAGTTTGTCACAGAGCATCTAAAATGTTCCCCTCGACATCCTGAAGCGCCTGTAAAACTCTGTATCGCACAGTGTGCCTTGAACAAATTTTTGCCAAAAGGTCGCGGGTTTCTTAACGTATCGCCAGATCCTCCGGTGGACAGGATCACCACCTTTTGCCAAAGCAATGGCAGCGGGGAGGTAAGCAGGGCGCGACGTGTCAGCAACATCTCCCGGTATCTCAACCGTCTCCTGTGTGCACCCCTTGCTCGTCGCCTCATATTGGACAAGACGCGAGTGACTAACATAAAGAAAAACATCTGACACACGGCGAGGAAAAACATTGGCGGCTCCCCCGCCATTTTGGATTTCACGCGTTAGAACATTCGGATGTTCGATGTTCGATGCAAAGAGATTTGTGTGTATAAAGACGTCGCGACAGCGGCGTCCCGACAGCGGGAAATATCGCCGCTGTCGCGAAATGCTTCGTCTAGAGTGGGCCTTAGTGGACTAATAAATCAGAAACCAAGGATTACAAAAATGTCAATTTTGTTCCAATATGTAATTTCTCAGAGAAGTTATGAGGTTTTGAAATTCGATTTTTCGGTAAAAATTGGTAAAAAAATGGAATGTTTACTTTTCGAAACCTGTCAAATATACAGATTGCATTTTCGAGCCTGGTTCATGAATTTATCTGATTTGTTACACTGTTCCCTACATTTTAAGCTTTAAATCGTAAAAATCCATCTATCCAATCTGGAGATATGAGTATCTAAAAGTTCTATTCCCACAGGCCTTCTGTGGGGAAACCGTTGCTAGGGCCGTTGCTAAGGAGGCACTGGGCTGCTTTCCCGGTAAAATGTAGTGCATATCATAAGTAAAACGTGAAGAAAACTTTTATCGGTGGAAAATTGTTCATTTTCAGGGCCTCTAATTAATTACACACACACAATCATTGCATACACATAAAGATCGGACTATCATGGTCGTGTCTAGTAACAAAGACAGCCCCACCATCTTACCGTGCCTGTACCTAATTAAGCGCGCCTGGAACAGACAAAATTCCAGCAACAGTTGCGGGTATGAGCGAGTATAATTTTGTTGATTATGTGAATTTACGTTGCACGTTGTCCTAGACTTGTGGAAATAATTTTCACGCACGACGTTCTATGTTCTATCTGAAAAGTACGGACTATCTCTGTAAATCTGTTGGAACTGATTTTTTTTGTAAGCGGCTACTATTTGCTGTATGCTGTAAATCGTAAAAGATTAATGTTAGCAGTTACCGTAAGATTATGTAAAAATTCTGCTGAAGTTTGTAAGTATCGTATTTTTTTAATAAAAACGTAGATTTTATAAAAATTACTAGTAGTTCTTATCATGTCTGTTCACTAGAACGTAACGTTAACGTTTAGTAGTTGCAAACGTGTTGCAGTCGATACAAACTCAGAATAATAAGACAGTGCACAGGTAGAGACGCGTTTTTATTCGGTAGAAAATTACTTAATGAGTTGTCTGTGAAAATCATGAAAGAACACAAAGGCTAACGCCGCATAATGACGGCCGAGTATGAACTACCAAGCGCGGCTCTTTATGCATGCAGTGACCCGGTCCGCCAGGCCGCTCATAACTAAACCAAGATCTAACTTGTGGCTCAAAGCAGACAGCTTCGTTTCTTTTGGCAGTCGAATGTTTTTATATAGGAAGTTGTCAGATTATTTCTGGCGTTTTTGGTGATTTGTGTGGCTGCATATCTCTGCTTGTGTGTTGCAACTTGACAACATTTTGCCGATACGAAGTGTGATAAACAATGGAAACGGCTTGTGTTTTCAGAAAATTATTATTCTTTGCATTTGGCAGGTTTTTACCCAAAACGTTTTGCAAACAACTGACATCAAACGCTCAGTAAAACTCTCTTTTCCAGTGTCTTTTCCCTTCCCAAAAATTATGAAAGTGAAGCTCTCAGTTTACGTAATGACCAGCGAGCCTGATTGGTCGAGCGGCGGAGTAGCTTTTAAAAATAATGTGCACACCCCCA